GATAAAAGGAAGTCCTTCTTTACCCAAAGAGTGATGAACACATGGAATTCACTGCCACAGGAGATGGTGGCAGCTACAAGCATGGACAGTTTCAAGAGGGAATTGGATAAACATATGGAGCAGAGGTCCATCAGTGGCTATGAGCCACAGGGTATAGATAGGAACTCTCGATCTCGGGCAAGTGATGCTCTGTATTCTTGGTGCTTGGGGGGGGGCAACAGTGGGAGGGCTTCTAGTGTCCTGGCCCCACTGCTGGACCTCTTGATGGCACCTGGTCTTTTTGGCCACTGTGTGACAGAGTGTTGGACTGGATGGGCCATTGGCCTGATCCAACACTGGCTTCTCTTATGTACTTATGTCTGGGGCAAGTGATGCTCTGTATTCTTGGTGCTTGGGGGGCCAACAGTGGGAGGGCTTCTGGCCCCACTGTTGGACCTCCTGATGGCACCTGGTATTTTTGGCCACTGTGTGACAGAGTGTTGGACTGGATGGGCCATTGGCCTGATCCAACACTGGCTTCTCTTATGTTCTTATGTCTGGGGTAGTGATGTTCTGTATTCTTGGTGCTTGGGGGGGCAACAGTGGGAGGGCTTCTAATGTCCTGGCTCCTCTGCTGGACCTCCTGATGTCACCTGGTATTTTTGGTCACTGTGTGACAGAGTGTTGGACTGGATGGGCCATTAGCCTGATCCAACATTGGCTTGTCTTATGTTCTTATGTCTGGGACAAGTGATGCTCTGTATTCTTGGTGCTTGGGGGGGGGGCAACAGTGGGAGTATTCCTTGTGAGTAGCAGTGATCTGGGATTGTCAGGGGGAACTTTGTATTGGCTGCTGTCCATAGGAACCAACCTGGGCTCCTGCTAATGGGAAAATGAGAGCTTGTATGGATGATCGAGGTCTGCACGCGTCCTGTGTATGGGAAATGTGCGCTACACCTCTACTTCATCTTATTTGTGCAAATTCCCCAAGAAGTAGGTCGAACGCATGTACAAAGGAGGTGAATCAAAGGTATAAAATGCACTCAGATGCCTTTCTCAGAGCAGGCCAAAAGCTGTTGATTCAGGGAATATCCATTTCTTTAGTGGTAGATATATTTTTGGTATAGGGATAGATTTGTATTGGGCTCTTCATTTTTTAATTTTTTGTGTGTTTTTGTAGACTCCAAGTCTTGAAAACAGTATAGCAAAAAGCAAAAACAAATAGTGTTTGTATCATTGAAAGCTCTGTTGTTGTGTTTTTCTTTTAAGACAAAAGGTGTTAATGTATGAGTTGTGTTTTCTAAACTAAAACCTTAGTACTCAGATTAAATTGCTGTGTTGGCACTTTGCGATACGTAAGTGGGTTTTGGGTTGCAGTTTGGGCACTCGGTCTCTAAAAGGTTCGCCATCACTGCTCTATGGGATTATGAGATCCCTCCACTCCCTAAATACTGTTTTCCCAGGATGCACTCCTAATTATCCAGAAATTTCCCAAGCCTCAAAAAGAATTTATGCAGTTGGGGATATTTAGAGGAAAACCTCTGTGTAGAAGCAACTTTGGCATTCTATAACTTGGAATAAGCATGTTTATGTATTTGTTTAGAGCATATTTAGCGTATCTTTCTCAGAAACTGGAGTTAAGGCAGGTTCCAATTATAATTTTAAAAATCGCAATATATAATTAAAAATCATGAGAACTAACAAGACTGGCTATCCCCACAAGAAATAACTCCTCCTGGTGAAGTGTGCATGCAAGCGAAAGTTTACACCCAGAATTAAACTTTGTTGGTCTTAAAGGTGCCATGGGACTCAAACCTTACTGTTATATAGGAAGGCTGATCCTCCCTGGAAGCTTCTCCTTATCTTGCATAATATAGCAAAACAAGATAAGAGCAGAACAAAGTCTCATGTGAAAGGAGTCTTCACTATTCAAATGCTGAAAGTACTCCAAGACACTCAGCAGTTACTGGTGAACTTCCTAGGGGTGTTCAGCCACCAGCCTGGATTTCCTGTACCTAGGCTCCTATAACACAGGAAAGATCTTATGTAAGTATATGTTACTTTTTCATGTTGTACTAAGACATGTTTTTTCCCCTATTGAGGAATTATGAGAAGGCATTCTGGTCTTCAAGATTTTTACACTCCTGACAAGAAACTGGTTTTGGTTTTGCCACAAATCCTTTTGAGAAGAAAGTGGCAATAGTAGGCCAAGGTTGCAAAAAACAAAACAAAAACCCATCCCTCAAATGTCATATCTACAAGTCCATTTCCAACAGTTTTCAATCTCCCTATACCTCTCGCCTCTAGACTGGCAACTGGAGTCAGACTGCGCCCCTGAAGTGATCAGTTTTGACCTAAGCTTTTATTTATTTATATTTAAATTTATACCCCGCCCTACCCCGAAGGCTCAGGGCGGCTTACAGGGTACAAGTGCCAGGTTAAAACAATATCATATGATTTAAAAACAATAAATTACATTTTAGTGAATTGCTGACCTCTATGACACACCCTATCTCAGGATCTTCTACAGTGTAAACCCCACTTAATGAGGGGAAAGAGCCATATAAAGAAAAGGAAATCTTCAGAATTAACATGTTTATGTTCTTGATCCAATAGGTATGCTGAGCTGCAGACCGGAAGGTCGGAAGCTTGGCAGTTTGAGACCCTAGTGTCGCATGACAGAGTGAGCTCCTGTCTCTGGCCCCAGCTGCTGTCAACCTAGCAGTTCAAAAGCAAGAAATTGCAAGTAGATAAATAGGTACCACTTCAGTGGGAAGGTAACAGCGTTGCATGCACCTTGGCATTTAGTCATACCAGCCACATGACCACAGAAAAGTCTTCAGACAGCGCTGGCTCTTTGGCTGGAAAATGGAGATGAGCACTGCCCCCTAGAGTCGGATTCGACTGGCTTTCGAGGAAGGGAAACCTATACCTTTTTTAGATGTAATATTTAGTGAGAGAAGCATAACTGAATAGTTGATGAGAGAGAGAATGCTTGACAATTGCAGGATTCTAGCATTTTAGATCAATCTGCAGCCAAGATTGAAGTAATGCGCTAACAACTTAATAGTTAACTTTCCTTATAACATCCTATAGCATGGAAGGTTTTGAGCTGAAATGGATTATCCCAATAAAGTATACCCACACTCCAGTATTTTTAAAAGGAATTTTTAATTCTTACCATGTTATTTGCATAGGAGAGGGACTGAAGAAGCTGCAGTTTCGCTCTGGTCGGAGGAGCTATGGCTACTTTCTCCAACAACTGAAACTGCATCAGTGATGTTGGTGTTTTGCTGCTGGGTGGGTGTAGGATACCTTACACTTGGGGAGCAGTGGCTACCTGAAGGCAAAAATCCTATGAACACTTATTTGGAAGTAAGTTCCATTTAGTGGAATGAAACTTACTTTTGAGCAAACAGGCAAAAATTCTGGCTGCAATCTGAGCACATTTACCTAGCAGTCCCATTTAAATTATTATGACTGAGAATTGTTGCATATTTTATTGTAGCAGGCATGTTCCCCTTGTTCACCCTGCAGGAAATAGGTAAAGTCTGAGGAGGCACGTGTCCCCAAGATCAAATGTGGCTTCACAGACATGACCAAAGCCTCTTGCTGTGTGATCTCTTTGCTTCATAGACTTGCATATGTACTTCATATCACTGGGTGTTTGAAAATGTTTTGTGCACCTTTCTGTTTTCATGCTACAGCAAATGCCAGAATGAGCAAGTGCCAAAATAAACATAGAAAATACTTTCACTGTCATAATATCGTTTTCTATATTTCACTATTTTGTGAGCTGACTTGGATGTTTAATTCAGAAATAATGCATAGAATCGTCTAAATAAAATATTTAAAATAATAAAATATGACTCTGCCTTACTTCTTATTAAACATGCTTAGGCTAAGGATGTAAGGAATTTGAATGGCTCTAAAAGTATAGTGTGGGAATTGTCTATCAGAGAAACAGTATATGAGGAAAATCCCTCCTATCCAGCTTCAATCTGTATTTTCCCTCTGCTTTTCTAAGTCTAAACTACAGATTGTTGGTGGATCTGATAGTGGATGAAAGGGTAGCCAGTTTTTATTGAACCTTTCTTTCTGACATGTTTTCAAAATCCATGGAATTTATTTTAAACATGGACAACCTTATGGCATCTGCAGTGAGAAAAAATTCTGCTGACTGTATAAATGTGCCTAAGACAGGTTCATCTGTACATACTGGATTTATATACAATGAAAGTTTTTTAAAATCTTTTTAGTTGTTTTATGGTCCCTTTTTAGCTTGAGAACTTAGATTCAGGTGGGTAGCTGTGTTGGTCTGAATCAGCAGAACAAAGTGAGTCCCGTGGCACCTTTAAGGTAGCTTAAGAACTGTTTTATGAATATACATTTAAGATGCTCAGTGATTGTTTTTGCTGTTTTTAATGGCTTGTTTTAGTATTGATTTTAATGGTTTTATGGTATTGTGTTTTTACTTATAAGCCACCTCAAGTCTCTCCAGAGGTGACATTAAATCACCTAAATAATAAAATTTGGGTTCATCTGATTTCTGTCTGCCTGCAGCTAAATGTGTTAGCTGATAATGTTAGTGGTGATGGTGGCCAGTTTCTCTATGAGAGTTTCCTGAGATAATGAAGTCATCAAGTGAGGAGCACATACGTGTTAAATCAGTCACTAGTCGACTTTGAAGATCACGAGAAGACTCTCTTTTCCATTCTCAAGACCTTATTATCATAAAGGCCAGAGAGGTCTATTTCCAAACAAGCTTGCGCCTCTCACTGGAGATCATATACCGTGAAATTCTTAATCGGTTCGTTCCTGCAAGCCAACCTTCCCTTATTACGACACACAAAGCGGCTGTAAAGGGTCATCCCTGACAGCAGCGGCCGCTAGCGGGAAAGGAAGATGTTTCTGTCCCGGAAGCAAAGAACCCGGTTTGGAGCGCCGGTTCTGGCGCTTGTTCCTCGTGGGTGTGTGTAATGAGCAGGTGATAAGTGGGCTCAGACGAAATTCCTACTTGAGACGGAGCGAGGCAATCGCTACCGCTCCTTTTTCGCCCCTTCTCCTTTGCATCTCTTGCATCTGCCTCCCGGTGGTGAGGAATCCGCTGTCTTATCCCCACGCCTCCGCACGCGAAGAGAAGCCTCATCAGGTTTATGTGGGAGAGAAAGCGGTGAAGGAGCATATGTAATGCACATGAGCGTTAGCGTTGCCATTCTCCATGGGGGACCCGGGGATCCCCTGGAATTACAGCTAATTTCCGGAGTACACAGATCAGTTCCCCTGGAGAAAATGGATGGTTTGGAGGGTGGTCCCTGTCCTCCCCAGGCTCCGCCTCCAAATTCCCAGGAGTGTACCAACGTGGATCTGACAACCCTACTACTTCCCCCGCCGGTGGCCAGGAAGGATCTGGCAATTCTAATAAGCCTTATATTAAAAATGCCATGCTCCATGTATTCTCCTGCCAACCTAGCAGTTCGAAAGCAAGAAATTGCAAGTAGATAAATAGGTACCGCTTCGGTGGGAAGGCAACAGCGTTCCGTGCGCCTTGGTGACCACGGCAACCTCTTCGGACAGCGCTGGCTGTTCGGCTTTGAAACGGAGATGAGCACCGCAACCCTAGAGTCAGATTCGACTGCGAGCAAGGGAAACCTTTACCTTTACAATGTATTCACTCTAGTTGGGTGAAAACTGAGATGGTGGCAAGGCAACAGATATTTCTGAATAATTTGGGGATATCGTTTTGGTTGAGTCTTATAATGTGATTTTTGCCGTCAGGGTCTGGAACCTGGGAAGAATAAAGAGAAGTCTTGGAACATTAGCAACTTTTTGTTCCATCATGAGCTAGAGTCTGTTTTGTCAGAGGATGCTGCCAGGAAAGTGCAGGTGTGTTTCTGTCACTAGAGACCACAACAAGCAACCCACCCACCCCCACACTGGGAGAAAGAAGCATTTTATGCAGGCTGAGCCCCGATAGTCTGGAAGGAAGACAGGATCATAGTAGGCATTTTATTTTATTTGTACACATATGGGTTTCGGGGGGAAACCTGAAATGTCAGTTCAGAAAGCAGTAAAAAATAAAAGGCATAGTCTGAAATGTTTCTGGGCCACATTCGAATGTGAATAAGCATGATAATAATCCAGGAAAGCAATGGCTGGCAATATCAATCCTAGGAAGATTATGATAATATAGTTCACACTTGAGAAAACCTTTGTTTGAAAACTTCCAAATCTGGGCAAATACCATCAAAAGTTTTGTTTGGGGGAAAAGGCTCAAATGAAATGAGGGGGTTTTATATGTATGCGTGCAAGTGTGTTGTCAAGATTTTCCTGTGTAGTGCCAGATTCACATGTTTTTAAATTGTTAATGGTTTGGTCATTTTATTTCACTGATTTGTGACATTTACTGTTGTGATTTCTTTTCACAGGGTGGTAGATATGTTTATTTATTTAGGGGGGAAATGTATGCTGCCTTTCCAGGAACCTGTCCAAGGTGGCTTACAAAATAAAAACAAAATATTAAAGGATATTAATTAAAATCCAACCCAGCAGAAAAACAGACCACTGCCAGCTTAAAATAATTTCCAGACTAAAATAGTGTTAAAAATCAACTCCTTGATTAAAGGCCCTGATGGCCTGGCACCTAAAAGAAAATATGTTGAATTAGGCTATTGAACAGTGCCCTGGGTAGTGGTTCCCAGCATCAGTTCTACTACTACTGAAAGGAGGATATGTTTGTGGAATTCAGCAGACACAGAGGAAACAATACTCATGGTTTATATATGTTGTTTCCATGAGTTAATTATCAGATAGGAATTGTTTATCTTCTTTAAGCAAATAAGCTTTCTGATTTGCCAATAATTATATGCATTCCATCCTCTCTGTGGAGGTACACGGCCTGCTCTACACATGCAGCGGTATTCTGAAGTGACTGGAGAAGACCATAGTGCTTCAGACTACAGGTGGGGATCACATTCTTAAATGGTCCCCTGTGTTTAAAAAAAATTGGCAAGGAGATGTTACCACAGCAAAGGCAGAGCTGCACAGAGAGTTTTTAAATCAAAGTGCATTAAAATTTATTCTCTTTTTGCCTTCTGAAATGGTATAGCTCATGTTACTACTACATTTTGATGTGTGTGTACACCAGGCCTATAAGATGTGGCCACATGGAAGCTGCTTTAAATGATTTGCCTTGGGTAAATGCTACCTCTGATGAGCCACTGATGTACAGTAGCTCTCTGTGCAGAACTGGATGTTTTCAGTGTGCTACTACGGTATGCCCTCCAAAATGTTTTTATGAAATCATGGTCATAAACAACTCATTCCCATTCACACCTGCAGTACACAAACAGCCCATCCTATTGAAACAACCCCCCATGTGGAGCAATTAAAGGAACCTCCATGCTGTGGTTACAAGTATATGTAGGAGGTTCTGGTTTCAGTCCCTAGCATGGTACATGCTGTGGTTACAAGTATATGTAGGAGATTCTGGTTTCAGTCCCTAGCATCTCCGGGTAAGGGCATGGTAGTTATAGACAATGGGAAAGACATTTCTCTGCAGGGTACCTTATAAGAGCTCTTGCCAGTCAGAGTAGGTAGCACTGCCTTAAATGGACCAGTTATAGTGTTTAGGTATTCACCCAGAAATACAATGAACTGAATGAGGGGGGGGGCTGGAAACATCTTTCATAGGAACAGCAACTAAAACATCTTGCACAGCAGTCTCTAAACCTTGCCATAGAGCAAACTAATCCTCAGATCCTTACATTATTCAATTTAAGGGAATGTCTCTCATTGTAAATTCTGTCACAACAATTATTAGACTCCTTTTCACATTCATGCTCAATACATGAAGCTTATTATTGGTTTTCACTATTTTTAGTTCTCAAATACTGGACAAAACTGATAAATAAAACTTTTAAAAAAAGTTTTATTCTTCATTGAAAGAATTCTCGGACTGGGGCAGCAAGGCTTTTTTGGTTTTCTTTTTCTTTCCATACCTGATTTCTTGTTTTTGTTTTTTCTTAGGAACTTGTAGCTGTTGCCTTTGGCCCCAGAGGAGAATGGAGGAAATTTTGGCTGATCTGTGTGCGAGCAGTCCGACAGATCCACTCCCTGTCTGGGAACATGGCAATGTTGGACATTGTTTCAACCAGCTGATTCTAAACGTTTTCCCGCATGCAATCCTAGCTATAGTCAGTGCCTGCTACATAGGAACACCAAGGTATTAATAGTCCAGATGTGTGAGCTAAATCCCACATACAGGCACATATATTTCAGCATTCACTTTGTGTGTGGTGCTGTTAACCGCCTGGTGAAATGAGCTCCCCTATGAGATCATAGGGTGCGTTCAGACAGGGCATTTTAGCCAGCACAAACTGCTCCGGTTGGAACCGGAGCAGTTTGATCTGGAAGAAACGTGATCACACTCACCTCCTGACTGCGCAGCACATTGCGATATGCTCGTCCACACTTCAGGCGCTCAGCAGAGCGCATCGGAGTTTTTTTTTTATTTTTACACAGTTTGCGCATGCGCATTGGCAGGCTTCTTTATGATGAAGCCGATTGGCTGCCGCTTGGCTCTCGGGGCGCATGGGTGTGTTATTGTGGGGTTTTTTGACAGGGCAAATGGAGCCAGGAAGGAGGGAGGGGGGTGAAGAGCACAGGCAAGTGAGGCCGGGCAGGCAGTCTCCCAGGGAGGGACCTAGCGCTGCCGGCTCCTGAAGGGGAGGCGGGGCGGAGATCCTTGCACGTGCGTCGCCCCCTCCCACCTCTCCTCCCTCTTATTTTATTTTTTGCATGTGCGAGTCAGGCCCACCGCCAGCCGCCTGTTGACGAACTCCCCTCCCTCGCCGCCGCCCCTTCTGGGGCTGGTGCTGTGTGCGTGTGACCCGTTTTGGCTGGGGAGAGTGCCCAGGAGGAGAGTTAGTCAGCAGCAGCCAAGGAGGAGGAGGAGGAAGGAGAGACGAGGAGGAGGAGGAAGGCACGGCGGAGTCATGGAAAACACTCTGCAGCCGCAGCTAAAGCAAAAGCGGCTGCAGCAACAGCAGCGGCGGGCAGGGGAGGAGGAGGAGACGAGGCGGCTTTGCACAGGTGCAGAACAACTTTTTTTTATTAACGATGGGGTGAAGCTTCGCCCAAGCGCACATCGACTACAAAAAAAATGGCGCCCAAAAAGCGGAAGCCTCGGGCTTCCGAACGGAAGTGGCTCTACACCGGCGGAGAGCGATCAGATGGGGGGATAATGCGGCTGGAACCGGTGCACTCAGGATAAGCCTGGTCCTGACCGGACATCTGATTAGATATCAGATTGCTTTAACATCTGATCTCTCTATTTACATGGTATTTTATGATATTATGTGCAAATTGCTATATTAACATTATTTTAATTGTTGTATATCGCCCTGAACCCGTTTGGGGAGGGCAGTATATAAATCTAATAAAAATAAATAAATAAATAAATAAATGTATATCACAGAATCTGATAGGAATATCCCATTCAATTTAAGTGAAGTTGCATTTATGGGCCATAATGTATGTTGAGAAATGACCACACCCTCCTTGAAATATTCCTTAGGTAGTCCTAGCAGTTTGTTTGGCTTTCTAACTGCTGAGGTGTTTTAAGATTGTAATCCTAAAGGCATTTAATCATGAGTAAGTCCTATTGAAACACATGTAAGATTTTGTTGCACAAAACCGTTCTCTGACAGCTTATAGGAATAAATGTAAGCATGAATGTTTGCAGAGTCCAGTCTTTCAGATTTTCGAATGAACAATAACTGCAGACATATCAGATACCTCAGCTGTGGCCTGAAACAGTGTGGTCATTTTTGCATATAATCCAAAAGTTAACAGACTGGGAAATGAGATGTACAGACATGCAAGCCTAACTGGTGAAAGGATATCAGGAGAAGGGATGAGAGACTCCATTCTAAAGCATGCTATTCTCTCTTTACTAGATCTTTGGATTCTGGGAATGTCCACAGACCTGGTTGGAAATGCAGGATTGCTGCATCTTTTATCCTTGCTGGCTTATCTGTCCTAGACATAATTCCAGCAGCTGTATGGCGACGAGAATTGGGTTCCTTGTACCTAGAAGTACTGGCAAGTGGCATAGCCACATTGGCATGGCTTACTCATAGTTTGGCACTGCTTGCTCTCTACAAGTCTCCATGTAGTTTCAGCCGCGGTCCCGCAACACTGCTGATTCTTGCCTTCTTTCCGATTCCCTCCCTTATTATCACTCTGGTTTGGCGCTGCCAGACTGAGATGGGTGTTCAGGACCTCCAACCTGGCACTGTCTTCAGAGTGTCCATCCTCTGCCTACAGTTGACCACAGTGGTTTTCTACATAATTGGATACATTATGCCCATGTCTAGCAGGCATGACTTTTTCTGTATCAATGATTCTTGGCAGCATGAACCTCTCATGACAGGCTCAGGGATTTCTGTACCCACATGGCAGGGAGTGGCAGAGGATGGAGAGAGCTGGCTCTCACGTTTCTCCTATGCTTGGATGAATCCTCTTATGAAGCGTGGCTATCAGTGGATGTTAAATCGGCCTCAGGACGTCTATCAGCTACCTCGGCGGCTCCAGGCAGTCAGAGTCTGTGAACGCTTCTCCTCTTGCTGGCAGAAAAAGGCAGCTTTCAGACAAGATGTTGAAGAGACTACATCTTCCACAAACCGATTATTTGCCAAAAGCGATGGATTCCCATCTCCAGAGCATCATCATAATATTCGAAAGCGTGTGAGTCTCCTGTCAGTCTTGCATGCAGCTTTTGGGCTGCGCTATTATTCCTTGGGCCTTCTCAAGCTGGCTGGCAGTCTGTTGGGATTCTCAGGGCCCCTGCTCCTAAACCTGCTGGTCAGTTTTATGGAATCACGCCAAGAACCTCTTAGCCACGGGGTGCTGTATGCACTAGGACTCTTTGCTGGTGCATTCCTGGGTGCCATCATGAGGAATCAGTTCAGTTACGAGGTGAACAAGATGATGCTGATGGTGCGCACGGCCGTTATCTCTGCTATCTACCAGAAAGCTATTGGGGTGAGTGGCAGTAGCCTGGCTAGCTTCACCACTGGGGAGATTGTCAACTTTATGAGCACTGACACTGATCGGTTGGTCAATTTCTGCCTCAGTTTCCATGAGCTGTGGAGTCTTCCTTTCCAGTTTGCCATCACACTCTACCTCCTGTACCAGCAGGTAGGCATAGCCTTCTTGGGAGGGCTGGCTCTGGCTCTGCTGCTTGTTCCTGTTAATAAAGTTGTTGCAAATCGGATCATGGAGAACAACAAGGAGATGCTGAAGCACAAGGATACACGTGTCAAGGTGAGGTGGAGCTATTCGGCATTTCCAAAGCTCACTGTTGTGCTTATCTGTTGAGTTTTCCTGGAATAGCTATGTGTTGAATTTTTTAGGTATTTGTGACAGTGAACTCGTATAATGGAGTCTACGTGATTTACCTATTAGTAATGAGCTAGCAGTGCTGGTCAATCACCAATGCAGTATTGCACAACAGAAGCAAAAGGCAGAAGCACACTCCGTTTTTTGTAACAAAGATGGACCTATGATAGCCTTCCACAAAAGACAATTACACACATTGAAACAGCAGGCATGAGTGCTCTGGGCCCAACCCCTACCTGTGTACAACCACCTCCTTATGAGCATGGGATCAGCAACAGACTCTCACCCCTAGACCCCCCATCTGCCCACTTGCCCCACCATCTTAGGGTCCCCGTTTTGCACACTGTTGCTAGGATAGGAGCATGGTCTGTTTTAAAACTTAGCTGGATTCTTCAGAGAATCTGAGTACAATTTATTTGGGAGCCCCTGGGTGGCTACAGTAATTTAACAGAAATGCCCCAGTCACTGTTGGGCACACAGATATGGCATCATACAAGAAGGGAACATGATTCAGTTTTTCTCTCTCTAGTACATAATTTATGGCCCGGCCTAACTTTGGAGTTTGTGTTAAGAGTCTATGCCTCTTACGTTATACCTTCTGCTGCTTACAGCTGATGACAGAGTTCTTGTGTGGCATGCGAGTGATCAAGTTCTATACCTGGGAGCAGCATTTTGGCACTAGAGTTTATGGCTGCCGAGCCAAAGAGCTGAAGTCCTTACGTGCTATCAAATACTTGGATGCTGTGTGTGTCTACCTCTGGGCAGCACTACCTGTGGTTGTCTCCATCGTCATCTTCATCACATATGTTCTGCTGGGACACCAGCTCTCTGCTACCAAGGTAGGAGATGTGGCTGTTTTAGGAGACTTCTACTCGGGTCGCATGTTAAGATACTTCAGAAAGCATTTGAAAAATGGCTTCCCATATGATATTTTGGAAAATTGTGGTAACCACCTGAAACACTCTTGTGTTTGAGAGTGTACAGCCATTCCAAACAAGCAAAATGATCATTTTTTTGGAAAGGATTCTTTTCTCTCAAGACTTTGTAACAGTGAAACCCATCCCTTACCTCATACGGTGAATGTAGCTGCCACAGGAAGCTAGTCTAGTGGCTAGCTTTAGCATAACCATGGCTTCATTTCTCAGGTATAGAATATGACATATAGGACAGAATATGACATTGAACTTTTTCAGACAGCCTATGTATTCCGCTTCAGGAACCGTTTACTAATGGAATATTTCTGTCATTTCAGGCAGATCCGTTTTAGTAACTGGCTGCTGTCGGATTATATTTACCTTTTCAGACTATCCCGCTTGTGTCCTGTTCAGGAGGCATGCCTGAGGCATTCTAGTTCAAAACTGCTTTGTTCCATTTTCAAGTCCGTCTTCCACTTCTGAATCGCTATGCAATGATGTGTAAAATGCTCTCTAAAGCACTTCCTGTAAAGCCACCTCATTTTTTCAACCTGCTCCTGCATGCAATCTTCTTCAGCCATTGGTGCGGTGGGTTGTTGTTTTTTGAAGACTGTAATTGGAGTACTGAGGCACTTAAAAAACAGAGCAATTTATCGACATGGTGATTCCATAGCCTCATTTGCAATTCACTCTCCCCAGCCCCTGATTGCAGCACAGCGATGCAAAGAAGAGGGAAAGTTCCACTTTATCCCAAGGCTTCTCTCTTCTCTCTCTCTCTCTTACCCCCACCCTCTTTTCCCTTGTAACTAGCTTTTGAGATCTTATTCCAGTTCTGTCTGAAGAAGTGTGTTTTGTTGACCTCAAAGGTGCCATGTGACTCAAACTTTGTTCTCCCTCTGAGAGTGGGGGCAAAAACTGCATCTGCTGGGGAGGGGGAATTGCAAATTAGGGTTAGGCCATGCTATGGAATTGCCATGGCGATAAATTGCTCTGTTTTTTAAGCACCTCAGCACTCCCATTACAGTTTAAAAAACAACAACAACGTATCGTTTACACAAGCAGGTTGGGAAGAGGAAGCGGCAATTTGTGAAATGGCCAGATCGCTTCATGGACTTATGGAAGGTAATTCGCTGTGTGAAAGACCCGTTCCTGTGTGGCTTTACTCAGAAATGGTCCAATGATGGATACCATCCAGAATATAATAGTAATGTGAAAAGGGCCATTCTCTATATATCATCCGTCTACTTCGCATAAAACAGGCACTCCTTGCTCTTGTGCTTGTAACATGTTGTTGTTCAGTCGCACAGTCGAGTCCGACTCTTCGCGACCCCGTGGACCACCTCATGCCAAGCCCTCCTGTCTTCCGTCGTCCTCCGGAGTCTGCTTAATTTCATGTTCGTTGCCTCGATGACACTGTCCAACCATCTCATCCTTTGCCGTCCCCTTCTTCTTTGACCTTCAATCTTCCCCAGCATCAGGGTCTTCTCCAGTGAGTGCTCCCTTCTCATTTGGTGGCCAAAGTATTTGAGCTTCAGTTTCAGTATCTGGCCTTCCAGGGAACAGTCAGGGTTGATTTCTTTTAGGATTGACTGATATGATCTCCTTGCAGTCCAGGGGATTCTCAAGAGTCTTCTCCAGCACCATAGTTCAAAAGAATCTATTCTTCGGCGCTCGGCCTTCCTTATGATCCAACTCTCGCAGCCATACAGTACTACTGGGAATACCATTGCTTTGACCATATGGACTTTTGTTGGCAGGGTGATATCTCTACTTTTTAATATGCTGTCTAGGTTTGCCATTGCTTTCCTCCCAAGCAGCAGGCGTCTTTTAATTTAATTTAATGGCTGCAGTCACTGTCTGCAGTGATCTTGGATCCCAGGAACGTGAAGTCTGTCACTACTTCCACAGCTTTCCCTTCTATATGCCAAGGAGCGATGGGGCCGGATGCCATGATCTTAGTTTTTTTGATGTTGAGCTTCAAGCCCACTTTTGCGCTCTCCTCTTTTACCCTGAGCAAGAGGCTCTTTAGGTCCTCTTCACTTTCTGCCATCAGAGTGGTATCGTCTGCATATCTGAGGTTGTTGATCTTTTCCCCAGCAATCTTAATTCCCGCTTGTGATTCATCCAGGTCAGCATTTCGCATGATGTACTCTGCATATATATTAAATAAGCAAGGTGACAATATACATCCTTGTCGTACTCCTTTTCCTATGCTGAACCAATCAGTTGTTCCATATCCGGTTCTAACTGTCGCTTCTTGACCCTTATACAGGTTTCTCAAGAGACATGTTCTCCATAATCAGCGAATGTTGGCAATTTCCTCTACCTCTAGTTCCTCTACCTCTTTGAAACCCAGCTTGTATTTCTGGAAGTTCTCTATCCATATACTGCTGAAGCCAGCTTGTAGGATCTTTACCATGACCTTGCTAGCGTGTGAAATGAGTGCAATTGTGCGATAGTTTGAACATTCCGTGGCATTGCCCTTCTTTGGGACTGGAATGTATACTGACCTTTTCCAATCCTGTGGCCACTGTTGTGTTTTCCAAATTTGCTGGCTGATTGAGTGCAGCACTTTAACAGCATCATCTTTTAAGACTTTGAATAGCTCAGCTGGGATACCATCACCTCGACTAGCTTTGTTTAGTAATGCTTTCTAAGGCCCATTTGACTTCGCATTCCAGGATGTCTGGCTCAAGGTCAGTGATTACACCATCATGGTTGTCAAAGACATTGATATATATTCTTGTATAGTTCTTCTGTGTATTCTTGCCATCTTTTCCTAATCTCTTCTGCTTCTGTTAGGTCCATACCGTTTTTGTCCTTTATCATGGCCAGCTTTGCATGGAATGATCCCTTGATCTCTCCAATTTTCTTAAAGAGATCTGTAGACCTTCCCATTCTATTGTTTTCCTCTATTACTTTGCATTGTTCATTAAGGAAAGCCTCCTTATCTCTCCTTGCTGTTCTCTGGAAATCTGCATTCAGTTGTGTAAATCTTTCCTTTTCAACTTTGCCTTTCGCTTTCCTTCTTTCCTCTGCTATTTGTAAAGCCTCATCAGACAGCCACTTTGCTTTCTTGCGTTTCTTTTTCTTTGGGATGGTGTGTATTGCTTCCTCTCCTGTACAGTGTCACAAACCTCTGTCCATAGTTCTTCAGGCACTCTGTCTATCAAATCTAGTCCCTTAAACCTATTCTTCACCTCCATTGTATATTCATCAGGGATCTAGGTCAAATCTGAATGGCCTAGTGGTTTTCCCAACTGTCTTCAGTTTAAGTCTGAATTTTGCAATGAGTAGCTCATGATCTGAGCCACAGTCAGCTCCAGGTCTTGTTTTTACTGACTGGATAGAGCTTCTCCATCTTTGACTGCAAATTATATAGTCAATCTGATTTCGGTGTTGCCCATCTGGTGTTATATAATCAATCTGATTTGGGTGATGTCCAAGTGTAGAGTCGCCTCTTAGGTTGTTGGAAGAGGGTGTTCGCTATGACCAGCGTGTTTTCTTGACAAAACTGTTAGCCTTTGCCCTGCTTCATTTTGTTTAAAACTACGATCCTAGAAGCTCAAAAAAATATATATTCCGCAGGTTAGGAAAGGCACAAACAGGTATAGGAAAAAGCCTGCATGGTTATTGTAACGATTTCATGTTTTGTTTGTGTGTCTCTTTAAAAGTGGTTTGTATGGATGTATGACAGACTAGGATGCTGGACTCAAGCAAGTGATATGATTGGTGAGTGACAGAGAGGGGGAGGGGTTTTGGAATGGATGCTGTGTGGATGATTGGAATGTCTATCTGGTGTGTCTGTTAGGTAAAACAGTTGAGTAAAACAGTTAGTCAGAGCAGAGTGTGCTGTGTAAAAGCAGTTGATATGAGTTTTGTCCTGTGGTCTCTGTGTGAGAAGTTTTCCTGTGTGAAATATAAGAGTGAAGTCTCTGTGTTATAAGAGTTACAATTGAAAGCTGAGAGTCTAAGAAAAAGTACAGTGAAAAGTGTTACTAAGTTGCTTTAACCTCCCTGTCAGTAAAAGAGAAGCTTGTGAGAGACACCAAGCATTTGTTCAAATCCTTCCCAGTACTGTTTACATTGTTTACCCTCGTATTTATGTTTTCTTTAAATAAATCCTAATTCCTTCAAGTATACCAGCTCAGCAAATAATCCTTCCTCAGACCACATAGACCTTCATGAATGCCTAAGACCCATGGTACACCTACCCCGTGGAAAATATTATAGGAAAAGGTTTGGGAAAACCTAGATTTCCCTGGTGGCAGCCAGAATACCCTACAGAGTAAAACTGAAAGAACATTTTAAAGTAAAACTAGACCTCCCCAAATAAGAGGTCGTCACAGGTGGTGGCAGCGGTGGGATACGAACATCCTGAGGAAGAGAACAC